AAGCCTCTCGGAAGCCTCTGTCTCAGAGGCTGATGTCCGAAGCCTCTCCCAAACCCCTCGGCAGCTTCTCATGCGCCTCTTCGAAACCAACCATGAGCCAGGCGCATGATATTTTGAAGCGCACGTTCTCCACCACCTCTACCACAGGGTGTAAATGAAGAAGAAGAGGATGAGGAGGAGGAGGGGGAGGAGGACCTCCCCATCCTCCCTTCTCCCCCGTCCTGCCCATGGGAGTGGTGGTGGTGGTGAAAAATTGGCCCATCATACCTTGTTTAACAGAAGCTCACGTCACTTCCCACGGCGCCGAGACAGGGGTGCGCCCCCCCCCCGGGCGGCGACAGGACAGGGGAGCGGCGAAAGCTGGAGCGCAAGACGGCCCGTGCACGACGAAGCGATGTGCGGGGCGCTGCACGGTGAGGGCATTGGACCAGGAACCGTTGGATAAGAAATCCAGGGTCTGGAGGACGGGGGAACTCCAATCGTGGAGCGGTCATGGAAATCACCGCGGCCCTCATCAGACAAGGAATCCTTCAGGGTCTGAAGCCTCCTGGGGGCGCATTCCTGAACTAGCGCCCCCACCGCATCAATAAGAGCCGAATCATTTTTGACAACACATAAACTGGAAAGTAAAGCATCCTGAGCAATGTGCATCCTACACACATAGTGGTGTCTCGCACCACGTGCGTAACGTTCCGCGCGTACTGCCCAGTGCACGTGATACGTATGCAAGAACCGTAATAGTGCAAAGCCGTGTAATGCGCTTGTAATCCGAGATCGGATGGGGGAGCAGACCCTGCAAATACCGTAGAAACCTGCGGGCGCCACGGAAATCATGCCTGCGAAAACCGCGCCGTCTCCGCGAGCACCACACTGGCCTGCGGTCGCCACGACATTTTGATAACACCACGACGTCTGAGGGAACCACAAGACACAAGGCGGAGCAGAACCCTGCGCTGCGGACACCAGAAGAGCAGCACGAGCACAAGCAACACTCCTGCAATCACCAGTAGCTCTGCTCATTGTCCGCTGGAAAGCCATGAAGGAAAACAAAAACAAAACCGACCGATAACCAACAAACTTTCGGGCTTCCAAGGAAAACCGACGGAACACCTGAAAAAGCCGACGGAAAACCTCAAGGAAATCTGAAGGGCACCAAGTAAGAACAGAAGGAAAGCCACGGACAACCCAAAGGACAACCAGAAGAAACCTGATCAAAATCAACAGAACCCGTAAGAAAAATGGTACCAGATAAAAAACCCAATCATAATCTTTTTAGGGCTGTAGGGCTATAGGGCTACAGGGCTATATGGACTCTTGGGCGCTATATGGGCTATATGGCTATATGGCTATATGGGTTATAGGGCTATAGGGCTATAGGGCGATAGGGATATCGGGCTATAAGGCTATAGGGCTACAGGGCACCCGGCACCCGGGCACCCGGCACCCGGCACCCGGGCACCCACCTGGGCACCGGGCACCCGTCACCCGGGCACCCGGGCACCCGGGCATCCGGGCACCCGGGCCCGGCCATCGAATCGGCGGCGAACCCGGGTACCCGGGCACCCGGGCACCCAGGCACCCGGGCCCGGCCACCGAATCGGCGGCGAACTCGGGCACCTGGGCACCCGGGCACCCGGGCCCCGCCACCGAATCGGCGGCACACCTCACCTACCCTTAGATCCGCTAGGACCCCTACAGAGGCAAGCTCTGATTGGAGAACCTAAAGCAAACTAAGACGTTCGTGGAAGCAGGCCAAAACGTCGGCAAGCCAGGGAATACCTGTCGGAAAACCACAGAAAGACTTCAAAACTCAGGAAACACCTTCTTGCAAGACCAAAAACACCTTTCGGAAAACGTAAGGAAGCCTAGAGGCTGCCCAGAAGAAACCTGGCACGTCTGCGCGCGCCGCAATTGCAGATGCGTTTCGCATCATGGTATACACCACAGCGTGCAGGACCCTGCCAATGCCACAACAGCCTGCGAGCGCCACGCTGTCTGGCGCCAGCATTGTGCATATGATCCACCAGAACAGTCTGCAACCGCCAAAACATACCCGAGAGCACCACAGAACGCCTGCGACCAATGTCCAGCAATTGCAGGCGAACGCCGCACTATGCCTGCGAGCACCGGCAATGTGCATGTGAGCACTGCAGACTTCTGCAAACACCACTGAGCGACTGAGAGCACCAGTGCACTTGAGACATGGAAGCGGCGAGGGAAGCCGGACCTTGTCAGCATCACAAGAGCATGCGACCACCACGCGCGCATGCACGAAAACAGGACAGACCGTGCAAAGACCACAATAGCCTGAGAGTGCCACAGTGACGCACGCATGCGTCAGCAACGCGCCTGCGACCACCACGACAGCTCGCGCATGAAATAGTCGAGAGCACCGCGATGTGCTTGCGATCACCAGATGGCGAGAGAATCTAGACCCTGCCAGCGCCGCCGCGTTCTGCGAGCGCCACGAGAATGCACAGCAGCACTGCGGACCCTGCCAGTACCGCGATACCTTACAGCGCCACGATGTGCCCACGATCATCAGCAGTGCGCCTGTGAGCACCATAGGGGCCTGCGACCACAACGCCGCGCTTGAAAGCACCACAATGCACTTGCGGCCACCAGGCTGAGCGAGCAGGAGCAGGACGAGAAGGGGGAGGAGGGAGAAGCAGCAATAGCAGGGCGGAACAACAACAGAAGAGTCAGGCGATACAGCTCCCTGGCCCTGCACATCCTGAACGGTCGGGCAAGGCGGTCATATGCGATTGCTTTTGGTAAAGTGGTCAAGTATTGATTCCAGCGGTCTCCAGCGCCCTCCACCTCACCCGCGGTTTGCGCAAAACAGTTTTCGATGATCGCGCAGTTGTCCGTCCGAGCTTGCACGGAATTCGACAACTCTCACCACATCGCCACTCAAAGCAACACGAAACAGGCGCCCAAAGCAACGACAACAAACAGCATGGGTTGCAATCTGGAACGTCTTAAAGCAGTGATCTGGCGGTCAAACAGGTCAGAAAGCAAAGTCAACCTGCCGTCAATGCAATCTATCCTGAGTAGTACAAGTTGCCTTCACAACCGCAAAACCTGGCCTGTGCGGGAGTATACAAATTCGTCCAGCAATGCTTGCACTCTCAGGTTATTATTAAGGTTGCCGAAGGACTTCGATGGGTGTGCCGAGGTTTCGCCACGTTGCCGCACAAGGCAACCTGTGTGCGCCTCGCGGGCGCTTCGTGTCGTCGATAGGTGTGCCTGGGGTTCGACACGTTGCCGCCCGCTGCCGCCCGTGGGCGCCTCGTGGGCGCTTCGTGTGCTGGATAGGTGTACTGCGATTTCGTCACGTTGCCGCCCGCGGCCGGTCGTGGGCGCCTCGCGGGCGCATGCTTTCCGAATTACAGAGCTTACACCGTACAAGCACCACGTAGCCTGCATCACATAACTTGCAACACGTAGCTTGCAACACATAACTTGCACCAAATAGATTGCACCAGATAGCCCGCATCACAGAGCTCCCATCCCAGAGTTTGCACCACGTAGCTTGCACAACATACATCACACCGCAGAGCTTACACCGTATAGCTTACAGGCTTACACCACGTAGCTTGCACCAGATAGCTCGCACATCCGCAACGCAATAACTTTACTGCATGGGGACCACACTGGCGAACATTACATATGACGAAAATTACGCATGATTGACTCCCATGGTCTCCCGTGCCCTTCAGGCTCTTTTTTCGATGCTCGTTCAAACTACAGTTTCGTGGACCCCGCACCCTGCCATGACCGCAGCAGTCTGCGAGCGCCACGCGTGTGCGCAGCTGTGCGTGAAATCCTGCCAGTAACTACCACGACTGCTTGTGAGCCCCAGTGCGCCTATGAACACCAGCCACGCGCCTGCGAGAGCCACCGGGGCCTACGACCACCATGCCGCGCCAGAGAGTACCATATAATGCACTTGCGACCACCAGGTGGCACGAGAAGGAGACGAACGAAGAGGAGGGGAAGGAGTGAGCAATCAACAGCAGGGGGAGACGCAACAACAGCAGCGCCAAACGGTACAATTCCCTGGACCCGTCAATCCGGAACGGATAGGCTAGGCGGAAATACACATAACATCCGGCTCAAAAACTTCAATCATTTACTCCCGCGGCCTCCCACGCCTCTGTCCCATTCAGGGGCCAGTGCAGACGGCAGATTCTGAGAAAACCTGTTGGAACACTTAACGTTGGTGCGTCCACCAGGAGCACCCCTGCGTGTACTTGCGTGCAAACATGTTTCTCCTTTCGTGTGCTTGAGGTGCCGCGTTCTGTAGAAGCGCGGAGTTCGAGGCCATTTTTCTGTAGAAGCGCGAGTTCCAGGCTGCTCGCTGTGTACCAATACTCAGATGGGTCGCCACTGCCGCGCTACTTGCGAGAACCACAGCCCCTACAAGCTGGAGACGACCGGGGTGTCTGAGCTGGATGAGCCCAAAGTACATCGGTCAAGAGGGGGTGGATGAAAGCAAATTCGCTCAAAGTGTCCCCAGACCCCTCCTGGGCTGGGTCGAAACTGGCCAGCTTTTTGAGCCGCGTCGAGCCATGGCGACGCGGGTGCCCCTTTCTCCCCTCCCTTCCGCTGGCTGGAAGCAGTGCTGGGCCACCTCGGCCCCCTAGCCAGCTCCAACACATAAACACAACAGCGCTCGCGACCGCCTCAGGGGCGTGGGCGCCGCAGCGCCTGCGAGCACCGCCAGCTCGTGAGAGCACCGCCACAATGCGCTTACGAGCACCGCGCCAGGACCTCGGGCCGGAAACCGCGGCGCCTGCGAGCACCGCCGCGCCTGCAAACACCAGTGCTTGCGAGCACCGCCGCGGCTGAGAACACCGCAGTCCCTGTGAGCAGCGCCACAACGCAAGCCTGCCTCGCCTCCCCCCCTGCCCTCCAGGACCTGCAGGAACGACAGGGTGAGGTCATCTGGGGAGGGCGGCGGGGGGGCAGGCCCGATAACCCGGGCCATCGCCAGGACCCTGGAATAAAAACCATCTTTGCGCATCATGACCCTTGGCATGTGCGCGGACGGGGCCGAGATAGAGAAATCGGGGAGATGTCATGGCCCCGGCCATAATGTCCACACATTCCAAAAAAAATCACCCCCCGCTTTGCCGCCCCCCACCTTAGAGATCAGCAGCGTCCCCATGCCAGCGCCGGTGCCGCCGCCGAGGGAGTGGCACATCTGGAATCCTCTGCAGCAGCATGTGTTGCGTGCACCCCTCCCTCTTCCCTCCCTCATTCGTCCATCAATCCTTGCTCCTCCTCCTCCTCCTCCTCCTCCTCCTCCCGCTCCTCCTCCTCCTTCTCCTTCTCCTTCTCGTTCTCCTCCTCCTCCTCCTCCTCCTCCTCCTCCTCCAACTCCTCCTCCTCCTCCTGCTCCTCCACCTCCTCCTCCGTGCTCCTCCTCCCTCCACCTCCTCCTTCTCCTCCTCCTTGGAGGAGGCCGAAGCTCACGGAGAGAGGGGGGGCGTGCATGCAGGAACGTTTCAGCTGAGCCAGCCCTACAGTCCGACGACGAACCCTGGTGGACTGGCCCCTTTTCCCCTTTTTCCAACCCCTCCCGCTTGCATGGGGATGGGGTCGACCCCCCGAACAGTTCAGTTGAGCGCCTCCTCTATTACTGTTCCTTGTGGATAACTCCTCCCTGTCGCGCCCCGAGGCTGGTCGAAAGGGCGGGCCGTGCGTTTCGCCTGAGGATTCCTCACCATTCATGATCATGAGGCTTGGAACTTGCAAGAGCTTCACGGATGGAGGGCGGTCCGTTTTCAAAACGTGGCTCTCGCCTTAGCGCAGCGCACACTCGTGCTTCTAATTTTGAAACAAATGCAAAAGTTTCACGGATGGAAGGCGGCTCCTTTTCAACGTGTGGCTCTCGCCTTAGCGCCGCGCACATTCGCCTTACGAGCTCACAATAATTTCCCAGAAAATGTGTTTTGGCACGATGTCGAAATGTCAGGGCGCAACAAGCACGTTGACTCGCGGTGTTGAAGTCCCAGGAATGGCGTTCGGTGTTGGGTTTACACAGGTCCTCCTCCTCCTCCTCCTCCTCCTCCTCCTCCTCATCCTCCTCCGCCGCCTCCTCCTTTTCTTCTTTGTCTTCCTCCTCCTCCTCCTCCGCCTCCGTCTGCTCCTCCATTATCCTCATCCGTTCCCCCTCTGGCGGCATCCTTGGAGGCAGTCGCAACCTTCGGCCTCCTTGCGGACCACGTCCAAGACGCTGTCGATCAGCTCCGCACCCTCCGTGTAGTGCCCCTTGATAGGGGAATCCGACGTCCAGCTGTCCCCTGCCCCTGACCCCTACCTTGCCCCCCCCCCCATCATCACTCCCTCCTCCTTCCTTGTCTTCCTCCTCCTACTCCTCCTCCTCCTCCTCCTCCTCCTCCTCCTCCTCCTCCTCCTCCTCCCCTTCCTCCTCATCATCAGCACCATCATCATCATCATTATCAGCAGCATCATCATATCAGCATCATCATCATCATCAGCATCAGCATCATCACCACCACCATCATCAGCAGCAGCAGCATCATCGCCATCAACATCACCATTATCAGCATCATCATCATCATCATCATCATCATCATCATCATCATCATCATCATCATCATCATCATCATCATCATCAGCATCAGCATCAGCATCATAATCATCATCAGCATTAGCATCAGCATCAGCATCAGCATCAGCATCATCAGCAGCATCAGCAGAATCATCATCATCATGACGCCATCAGCATCAGCATCATCATCATCATCATCAGCAGCATCATCAGCAACATCATCATCATCGTTATCAACAGCATCATAATACTCATCATCATCATCATCATCATCATCATCATCATCAGCAGCAGCAGCATTAGCATCATCATTATCATCATCATCAGCAGCAGCAGCATTATCATCATCAACATCATCATCACTATCACCAAACAGCCGGCCACCTTAGCCCAGTTGTTGCCCGCACCCGTCTGGCCGAACACGAAATCCGCTGGCCCATCGTCTGGAGCACCAGACTGCGCGGCACGAGTTATGTTTATGAAAGATGGCCGCCATGAAGATCTGGCGTGCACGCTTTCTTGCAAGCGGGCCACATGAACCCACCACATAATGGATGCAGTTGCTCCAGCAGGTGACGAGATCGCACGTCCTCAACTCCAGCAGCGAGTAAGGAGGTCTGATGAGCTTGTTATCCAGTAAGCATTGGGGTCAAATATACTCATTCCAGCAATGAAAAAATGCTCGCATTGCTGGAGGGGGAGGTGGCATCGCTCCACCGTCCAGAAGCGCGGTTTTCGCGTCCTGGCAATGTTCCACTCCCTGGGCTGCCGAGGCCCCCAAAGGCCCCACGATCGCCACAAGATCGCCCCGGATTGCCACAAGGCAGCCCCCAGAGGACATCAGGTTCTCCAAACATCATCTAGCATGAACAACTGAGGCCCAAAATTGAACTCAATATGCCCAAGAATCCCTCAGCTGGATGGCACCAGGATCGCCTCACAAGGCCTAAAGGTGGCCTCCAAAGGCCTCCTGATGTCCGCAAAACTGGCCCCGACAAGGCCTCAGAGCGACCGCAAGATGGCCCTGGAATGGCGCAAGACGGCCCGAGGTTGCCCCACTAACCACGAGATGAGCTCAGGAAGGTCCATGATGGATCAACGACGCGCTAAAGTGCGTGGCGCAAGGGGGGGGCGTTCGAAGAAGACTGGGTGCTTCTTCGAGGCGTCTGAGAAGCCTTCTTGGAAGCCCCTGCGCCCTTTTGAGAAGGCCCCTGCCTAATAAGACGCCAACCACCTCTTTAAAAGGTCGCCCCTCTCGCGACACGCCCTTGTGCGCTGCGGAACCCTGAAATCCGAAATTGAGAAAATGCAACATCGCGAAAAATCACGACCCGGACCCTAAACTCTAGACCCAATCTTCCTGCTGCATCTTTCGAGCCGGATCGATGTGTGAAGACCCCGGGGCTCGAAACCACGCGAAAGCGCCCATTGTGAAAAATTGCTACGTCTGGATCTCAGGACTCGTGCGCGCCGCCGAGTGGAGAAACGTTTCTGGCTTGACAGCCTCCGAAATACGAATCCATCAGTCTGCGACTGCGAAGGGTGTGGTTTGCCCGGGGCGCGGCTTGCAGCCCGCACCCGGGGGGGCCTGGACGGAGTTCCCCGCCGCGCCCCGAGAAGGCCGGACGAGGGCAACGTGGTGCCCCTCAAGCCCCAAAAGCGCAGATCACAAGCCACACCCCGTCATAACTATGCCACTTCATGGTCGCCGAATCGCACGCTCGGCTCGCGGCAGAAAGGCAGCAGTCTTTACAGATTGTCTGGGCGGAAGAGCTGGCCGAACGGCCCGGCGCGGACGCTGTCCATGGTGCCTGTGCAGCGGGGGGGGGGAGGAGGAAAAGGAAGAGGAGGACAAGGACAAGGACGAGGCTGAGGAGGAAGGGAGGGAGGGAGGAGGGGAGGGAGGAGGGCGGAGCCAGGAGAAGGAAGGAGGAAAAGGAAGTGCAGAGGCAGGAGGAGGAAGGAGGGAAGAGAAGAAAAGAAGGGGGAGGGGGGAGAAGGACGAGGGAAAATATAGGGAGAAACACGAGCAGGGTGAGGGGGGGTAGGAGGGAGGCAGACGGGACGCAAGAGGTGAGGGAGAGGAGAGGGAGAAAGGAAGTGTGCGGAGCATGGTGCCTGGCTCCAAGTCCATCAGCACCGCGCGAGGGACGTAGCGCCCTCCAGTCGCCTCGTTGTAATACACGTTGATGCGCTCTAGCTGAAGGTCGGAGTCTCCGTGATAAGTTCCCGTCGGGTCAATGCCTCGTCATCTGAAACGTATCCGTCCTTGCTTTCTTCCTTTTCCTCCTCTTCCTCCTCCTTTTAATCATCATCATCCTCCTCCTTTTCCACCTCCCCCTCCTCCTCCTCCTCCTCCTCGTCCTCGTTTTCGTCCTCGTCCTCGTCCCACCCGCCCTCATAGATTCGTCCACATCCTCTACCTTCGCCCTCCTCCCCACATCCTCCCTGTGCCTCTTTTTGTTGCACCCCTTCTTGCAAATAATCCCACCAGCCCTCTGGGCGTCGGTGGTTTGGAGCATTTCCTCTTCCACCCCTCCTTCTTCCCCTTCGGGGAGGGGGTGATCACTGTTCCCTATTAATGAACACCCCCTCCCCCAGGCGACTGGGGGCCAACCAGGGACCATGACGACCCCCCCACCACCATCCCTTGTAAAAAAGAATACGAACACACTCTGCCAACCCGATGCGGCCCCCCCCCACCATCCCTCTCAAAAAAACAATACAGAGTACTCTTGGCGGCGGCAGCGGTTGCGGCGGCTGCGGCGGCGGTGGCGGCGGCTGCGGCGGCGGCTGCGGCGGCGGCGGCGGCGGGGGCGGCGGCGGCGGCGGCGGCGGCGGCGGCGGCGGCGGCGGCGGGCGGCGGTGGCGGTGGCGGCTGCGGCTGCGGCGGCGGCGGCGGTTTGGCAGCGGGGGGCGGCGGCGGCGGCGGCGGCGGCGGCGGCGGCGGCGGCGGCAGGCGGCGGCGGCGGCGGCGGCGGGCAGCAGCGGCGGCGGCGGCGGATTGGCCCCCAGTAGCTGCCCATCCAAAGACGACTGCTGAATATGCTGAGGCTCGGGCCAGACTCGGGTGCTACGTATGTGTTGGGAGGGCGGGTGGGAGTGAGCGAGACGGCTTGCGGGCGGGGGAGCTGGACAGGGCCTTTCGCCAGGCACAAGGTCCAATCGATCTATGATATTATCCGCGCCCTGGGCGCCTGTCAGGCGATCGTCCGTGATGTTGTCAATTCTCCTTTGAGTGTCCGAGGGCGGATCTCTTAGAATCCTATCTCCATGCCCGTGTCTGGGAAGGTCGGTGAGACGCCGCCAACGAACTATGTCGCGCCCCCGCACCTTGTACTCGCTCCAGCCGGCCCAGGTCTCGGGATCACTGAAGTCCCTGCCCCTCGTCTCTCCCCAGGGAGTCGGGTGACCAGCTGTCTCCTCCCTTCTCCCAGGAGTTCCAGGCGTCGTCCCATGATGATCTCCATTCCCTCAACCCGTCGGCCCAAGCGTCCCTGGCGCCTGCTAAGGCCGTTCTGCCGCTGGCTGCAGCGGCCGCCTCGGACCTTGGGTCTTGGGTCTCCCAGCCGTCGCGTCGCCCGTCATCGCGCCATCCTTGGTCTCGCCTCGCCGGCTCCTGAGACTGGCGTCGCACTAGACGTAGGACTTGCGCGAGCTGGGCCTCGGTGAGAAGACCGTCCGCCGCGGGAGACGATGCCGTGGCTGTGGGAACGGGAGTCCTCGTACGCACTCCCTCGAGCAGGGTCCTCAGCTGTTCTTCGTTCACCCTGAACTGTCCATCGTCGTCTCTCCACAGAGATGCTGCCTCCAGTGCCGTGCTGAGCTATCTCTGGCCGCCCTCAGCCGAACCCTCCGTAGAGTGATCAGCTCGCGCTGTCCCCGTCGCCATCGGGTCCGCAGAAAGGCGCAAAACTTCCGTAGAAGCTCCACTACCATTGTCTCCCCACCGATGGCGACGACAGATGTCGATGCTGCTTTCTCTCTCTCTCTCTCTCTCTCCCTCTCTCTCTCACTCTCTCTTTCTCTCTTTCTCTCACCCAAGGGTCTATCGGGCTGAACTCCAGTTCTGTCCAATGCTAGCGAGGCCAACTATGTCAGAGGGTAAAAGAGGGTGGGATGAGAGTGAGTGTGAGTAGATGTGGATAACTGGAGGCTTACAGCAATGAGTGGAGAATACGTGGCTTGAGCCAGAATGGTTAGGGAGGAACCTGATCCGTTCCCTCACTGTAGTTTCAAGCTCAGACAAGGGACGAGGGAGCCTCGGCAACAATACATGGCAGAGGCTTCCATTCCCACAGCCTCCCAACCTCCTTCTCCTCCTCCTCCTCCTCCTCCTCCTCCTCAGCATCACCATCATCATTCATCATCACCATCATCATCACCAGGAATAACAACAACAACAAACACAACAATAACAATAGCAACAACAACAACCACAACAACAATAACCACAACAACAGCAATAATAGCATCCTCAAACTCATCATCAACCTCATCCAGATAGTCATCCTCCTCATCATCCTCCTCATCGTCATTGTCATTCTCCTGATCCTCCGCATCCTCCTCCACCTACTCCTCCTTCGCCTCCTCCGCCACCTCGCTCCCACCTTCCCACTCCCTCTCCTCTTCCAGTCCCTCTTACTCATCGCTGTTCTCACCCACTGCATCCTCCACTGTCTCCTCCGTCATCTCGCCCTCCCCGATTCCCTCCTCCTCTTCTCCCTCCCCCATTAAATACAATTCTTCCTTTATCAACATCATAACCAGCACCAGCGTATCGTCAATGAAATCGGCATCGTCATCCTCCCAAAATCATCCTCACCACTCCATCTCGACCTGCCACCATCGGCAGCATCATCGTCATCATCAGCATCATCATCATCATCATCATCATCATCATCATCATCATCATCATCATCATCATCATCATCATCATCATCATCATCATCATCATCATCATCATCATCATCATCATCATCATCATCATCATCATCATCATCATCATCATCATCATCATCATCATCATCATCATCATCATCATCATCATCATCATCATCATCATCATCATCATCATCATCATCATCATCATCATCAGCATCAGCATCAGCATCAGCATCATCATCATCAGCATCATCATCATCATCATCATAATCATCATCATCACATTCATCATCATCATCATCATCATCAGCATCATCATCATCATCACCATCGTCATCATCATAATCATCAGCACCACCACCAGCATCATCATCAGCAGCATGAGCATGATCCTCCTCTTCCTTGTGCTCATCATCACCACCACCACCATCAGCATCACCATCATCACCATCATCACCATCATCATCAGCATCAGCATCAGCGTCATCATCATCATCATCATCATCATCATCATCATCATCAGCATCGTCTTCATCAGCATCATCAGCATCAGCATCATCATCAGCATCAGCATCAGCATCATCATCGGCAGCAGCATCATCATCAGCATCGTCAACATCAGCGTCATCACCAGAAGCATCAGCACCATCGGCAGCATCGACAACATCATAATCAGCAGAATCAGCAGCGTCATCATCATCATCATAATCATCATCATAATCATCATCAGAATCATCATTACATTATCGCCATCCTGATCATCGTCAGCCTCAGCATTATAATCATCAGCAGCAGCATCATCATCATCAGCATCGGCATCGTCGTCATGAGCAGCAGCATCAGCATCATCAACATCACCACCATGATCGGTATCAACATCGGCAGCGTCAGCAGCATAATCATCGTCGTCAGAAGCTTCATCAACGACAACATCATCAGCAACATCACCACCATGATCGGTATCAACATCGGCAGCGTCATCGTCATCATCCTCATCATCATCACCATCATCACCATCATCACCATCATCATCATCATCATCACCAGCATCGTCACCATCATTATCAGCAGCAGCACCCATCAGCAGCAGCATCCTCCTCATCACCATTATCATCAGCACCATCATCAGTTGCAACAGCAGCGACATCGCAAGCAGCGTCAGAACCGAAGTCCTCCTCGCCACCATCGCCACCACCATCATGAACAACAAACACATCTTCGTCAGCAGCGGCATCCACATCCGCATCAGCACCAGCATCGGCATCACCATCATCATCAGCAGAATCATCGGCATCGTCGTCGTCGACATCATCATCATCATCATCATCATCATCATCATCATCATCATCATCATCAGCATCAGCATCATCATCATCATCATCATCATCATCAGCAGCATCAGCATCATCATCAGCAGCATCATCATCATCAGCATCGTCATCAGCATCGTCATCATCATCAGCATCATCACCATCATCATCATCATCATCATCATCATCAGCATCATCATCATCATCGTCTTCATCAGCATCATCATCAGCAGAAGCGTCAGTGACACCATTCTCCCCATCATCAGCATCATCAGTGTCCTTAACATCTGTATCATCATCAGAATCAGCATCATCATCATCATCAGCATCATCATCATCATCTAAATCAACATCCTCATCCTCATCCTCATCCTCACCAGCACCATCCTCATCGACATCATCCTCATCATCCTCAACCTCGTCAGCATTAGCATCAGCATCATCACGATATCATCACCATAATCATCAGCAGCATCAGCGTCATCATACTCATCATCGTTGTTGTCATCGGAATCATCATCATCATCAGCATCATCAGCATGAACATCATCAGCCACAGCATAATCATTATCATCATCAGCAGCATCATCGTCATCATCATCAGCATCATCAGCATCACCACCATCATCATCATCAGCAGCATCATCATCATCAGCAGCAGCAGCATCATCAGCATCATCATCAGCAGCATCAACACCATCATCGGCATCATCAGAATCACAATCATCACCATCACCATCATCATCATCATCATCATCATCATCATCATCATCATCATCATCGTCATCATCATCAGCTTGTCATTACTCCTCCTCCTCCTCCTCCTCCTCGACCTCCAAACTACCCTCCTCCTGCCACTTTCTCCTGACTCCTCCTCCTCCTCCTCCTCCTCCTCGCGTCATCCTCATCCTCCTCCTCCTCCTCCTACTACACCGCCTCCACCTCTTCCTATTCCTCCTCCTCCTCCTCATCAGCATCACCATCTGCAGCAGCATCACCATCATAAGCAACATCATCATCATCATCATCATCATCATCATCATCATCATCAGCATCATCATCATCAGCAGCATCAGCATCATCATCAGCATCATCATCATCACCATCACCATCAGCATCATCATAATCCTCATCATCGTCATCAGCAGCATCATCATCATGACCAGCATCATCATTATCATCAACGTCAGCATCATCATCAGCAGCATCATCATCAGCAGCATCATCACCAGCATGATCCTCATCAACGCCATCAGCATAATCTTCAGCAGCAGCATCTGAGTCACCATCCTAATCCTCATCCTCATCCTCCTCCACATCATCATCATCAGCAGCAGCATCAACACCATCATCGCCATCATCAGAATTATAATCATCACCATCACCATCATCATCATCATCATCATCATCATCATCATCATCATCATCATCGTCATCATCATCAGTTTGTCCTTACTCCTCCTCCTCCTCGACCTTCAACTTCCCCTCCTCCTGCCACTTTCTCCTGACTCCTCCTCCTCCTCCTCCTCCTCCTCCTCCTCCTCGCGTCATCCTCATCCTCCTCCTCCGACACCGCCTGCACCTATTCCTCTTCCTCCTCCTCCTCCTCCTCATCAGCATCATCATCATCAGCATCATCATCATAAGCAACACCATCATCATCACCACCTTCATAATCCTCATCATCGTCATCAGCAGCATCATCATCATGACCAGCATCATCCTTATCATCAACGTCAGCATCATCATCAGCAGCATCATCATCAGCAGCAGCATCATCACCATCATGAGCATCATCAACAACATCAGCATAATATTCAGCAGCATCATCGTCTGAGTCATCATCCTCATCCTCATCTTTCTCCACTTCATCATCATCAGCAGCATCATTGTCAACAGAATCATCGTCATCAAAATCATCATCATCAGCATCATCATCGGCATCAGCTTCACCATCAACATCGCCATCATAATTATCAGAATCATCATCATCATCACCATCATCATCATCGGCAGCAGCATCCGCCTCCATCATCCCTCCCTCCCTCCCTCCTTCCCCCCTTCCTTCCACCTCCCTCCCTCCTCCCTCCGTCCCTCCTCCCTTCTCTCTCCTCCCTTCCACATCTTCCCTCCCTCCCGTTCCACTTCCCGCCCGCATTCCCCTCATCCCCCGAGAAGCTTGCCGTGCTCGTCGCTGATGACCTCCCAGAACTTCGCACCTCAGGGGCAGACGGAAGACGACGAGGACGATGAGGATAATGGGGAGCGGGAGGATGAGGATGGGCTGGGAGGGGGAGGAAGAGGAGGAGGAGGAGGAGGAGGAGGACGAGGACGAGGACGAGGAGGAGGAAGAGGACGAGGACGAGGACGAGGAAAGGGATGGGGAGGAGGGGGAGGAGGAGGAGGTGGCGGAGGAGGAGGAGGCGGAGGAGGAGGATGAAAAGGAAGAGAAAGGGGAGGAGGAGGAGGAAGAAGAGGAGGAAGAGGAGGAGGAGGAGGAGGAGGAGGAGGAGGAAGGGGAGGAGGAGGAGGCGGAGGAGGAGGAAGAGGAAGAGGAGGAGGGGGAGGAGGAGAAAGGGGGGGCGGAGGAGGAGGAGGAGGAGGAGGAGGAGGAGGCGGAGGGGGAGGAGGAGGTGGAGGAAGAAGAGGAAGGGGAGGGGGAGGAGAAGGAGGAGGAGGAAGAAGAGGAGGGGGGGGGGGGAGGGATGAGGAGAAAGAGGAGGAGAAGGAGGAGGTAGGTAGGTAGGTGTGTTCCCTTCGACGCTTCCTTGTAGCAAGGAGCCACGACCCGGAGAGGTTTCGGAAGCGACCTTGCTGCGACGGCTCTGGGAGACAAAGCGCTAGCACTGGAGGGGACGGGGGGAGGGCGGGCGAAAGTTTTAGCTCTTTCGGGGGCCTAGGCGCGCTCAACACGAGCCCAGGGAGCGGCGCCAAGGCGCCGGGGGGGGCACAGCCCCTGCTCAGGAAAACCCAGCAGCCTCCGGATGATCTCACAGCTCCAGCCAACACTTCCGCCCAGAGCTTCGGCCAGAGCGAAGCAGCAGAGGCAACTCAGAGACTCCCCGCAACGAGAGGGGGGGCCAGGCAGGGAGCTCGTCCGATCCCCACTACACTGCCTGGTCGACGTACCCCGCAAGCACGGGACGGCGACAAGAAGGGGGAGAAGGAGCCACCCCGATGGGGGGGAAAAAAAGTGCCCAGCCCGACCCGGCCAGCCTGCCAGGAGCCCACGGGGAAAAGAACACCGCTCCCGCTGCACCCCAGGGCAGGACCAGAGCTCCGAGGTGAATCCAGCTGTGGCGACAGAGGGACCCCAGAACGAGCAGCGGTTTGGATACCGTTCCCCCCAGAAGCGCCAGGCAGAGGAGAGGGAGGGCGGGAGGGGGCGAGATCGGAAGGGGAGAGAAAACCACCCCAGAGAGGAAGAGAGAGGGAGAGAGGACTGGGCGAAGAGAGAGGCCCATCCCGGCCCGACCCGACTCGTCCACCCGGGCTTCCGGGCGGAAGGGGGGAGGGAGGGAGGGAGGGAGAGAGGAAAGGAGAGAGGGAAGGAGACGGGGTGAGCGGGGGAGGCTTCTGCTGGCGACCGCCCAGAAACGATCCGCCTCCTTCTCCACGTGGAGCGCCATTAACGCCGCCTCGTTGTACCCGGCGTCCGCCGGAGCTGCCGACAAGATCGCCGTGGCCGCAGCTGCCCTGGTTGACGGGATCTCGCCGCCGCGGGCCTTCCAGAAAGTGCGCCTGCTGCCCTCAGTGTTTTTGCAGTTACCCAGAACATGAAAAGTGGGACTCAGAACCTGCTCCCCGCAGAGGACGCAAGCCTGCCTCCGCGCCGAAGAGAGGGAACCAGCGGAGTGGCTGAGCGCAACCAGCCGCCCACGGAGCCTGCTCAGCGAGCGTTGGCCCAGCATGACGTCGAAAGGGAGCCCTTGCTTGAGAGCCGTGGCAAGGTCCAGGCGAGGAACTGGGCCAAACGACAGGACCGGGAGCGGCCTCACGAGCCCAAGCGCCTGCCGTCTCAGCTCCTACGCGCACCCGGCCTCCAGGAGGGCCCGCACGTGCGCCTTGTACTGACGCAGAGACATCCCCTCGTAGGCAGCCTCTAATGCTTGCCAATCTGAGACGGACCACGCATCAAAGAGGGCGAGCGAAAGCTGTGCCCAAGTGCGGCCTCCTGACACGTGGGCGTGCACAAACACTCGCTTGTAGAGGTCCTCCTCTGGAAGCTGCCACAGACCGGCGCGCCGGGAGGCAGCCTCCAACACGGCCCTGGCCGGCCCAAAAAGCGACCAGCCCAACTCCGAGCAGGCCAGAGCCACCCCTCGCCAGGGAGGACTACCCAGGAGGGCGCGCGCCCACGCCCCGTAGCTCTGTCCCAGCTTGCGCGGCGCGTCTTCTGCCACCACCCACAGCCACCGCCCAAAACGCAGCGCGCCTTCGACCTGAACCTGGAAGGTGTGAGCAGCCGCGGCAAGCGGAAGGACTCCAGCAGCCACGTGCCCCGCGAGGGAGGCGCACTGCACGTACGCGGCACCGATCTTCGCATCCGCGAGCCTTCAGAGGTCGAGGCCACCAGACCAAAGGAGCCCGAGCCACTGATGAGCATCTTTGAACCCAAGTGGAACGGGCGCCCCTCCCCGGAGCGGCAGTGTTAGGGGGGCGACCGCCCTGCCTGCCAACCTGCTTACAGCGGACCCATGGACGACGACGGCGTGCTTGGAGGGCTTGGTGTGCGGGGAGGCCTTGCGCACGAAAGCCCAGTCGGCAAGAAAGTTCTGTGCCCGTTGGGCCCCTCCCCGGGCGGAGGAAAACTAAGACGGGGTCGTCGGCGTGCAAGATGGCCGCGAGGCGCAGCGGCGCGGCACCATCAAGCGCAGCCAGGGCGGAGGCTTCCAGCACAGGGTCGCCCGCTAGCTCGGCTGCTGTGGGAAGGGGCGCACCCTCGCGGAGTGCTCTGATGAGCATGGCAGACACGCCTAAGTCGGGGGTGCCTGTGCCATGCCACTGGCGCCCGGCCCAGATGCGCGGGATGCGCACATCAACGCCAACCCCACAACCTGCCTTGTGCGAGGCCTCGGGGAGGGAATCCGTGTAGACGGGGAACGTCAGCGGCCCCATCGCCCCCCCTTCCGCAATTCCTTAGTCAACGAGAACAGTGGCAACGCTATTGAAGTTCACGTGGATGGTGTCCGAGGCCATCATGCTCGCCAGGAGAGAGAACATGCCGTCGCGCACGCCGGCATTCTCATGGAGGTGCAGGAGGAGCACCTCCCTACACGTGCGCGGGAGAACCTTCTGGAGGTCCCCAAAAACCGCCCACAGGGGCCGTCCTGCACCCCTCTGCCCCCGCAGCGAACTCGTGGAGCACGAGGTGCGCGTCGCCCACGTCGCGGACATACCCTCTCTGGCCGGGAAAAATGGAAGCGCGGAGCTGCTGGACGAGCCGCCCGTGTACAAACACCTCCTGTAGCAGACCCAACTGCGACTTCACCATGATGAGCCGAAAAGAATCCCCTTTGTCGAGCGGGCCTTCCTTGTGCAAGGGGACGGCGCAGCTGCCCCTCCAGGCTGCTGGTCTAAGGGCAGGGCACCCGGGGCCCGTCAGACGCAGGGCCGACCAGACGGCGGACAGGAGGCAGAGGAGGAGGAGGAGGAGGAGGAGGAGGACGAGGAGGACGAGGAGGAGAGGAGAAAGGGGAGGCGGAGGAGGAGGAGGGGGAGGAGGAGGAGGTGGAGGAGGAGGAAGAACAGGAAGGGGAGGGGGAGGAGAAACAGGAGGAGGAGGAGGAAGAGGAGGAGGGGGAGGAGAGGGAAGGAGGAGAAAGAGGAGAAGGAGGAGGAGGGGGAGCAGAAGGCGGAGAAGGAAGAGGAGGAGGAGAAGGAAAAGGAAGAGGTCTCAGGAAAAACGCTCACCCCACCTTACCGACACGCCGCCTAGGGGTGCGTCAATATGGATGGAGGAAGAGGAAGACGTGGACGAGGAGGAGGAAGAGGAGGAGGGAAGGGGGAGGAGAAGGCGAAGGCGAGGAGAAGAGGGGCCAGATGATGGACAGACGGGCGCACGTTTTCGGCGCTGGCCGCTCCTGGTTGACATATGCATTCACTCACCTATATATATACACACACGCATACATACATCCATCCATCCATCCATCCATCCATCCAGCCATCCATCCATCCATCCATCCATCCATCCATCCATCCATACATACATACATACATACATACATACATCATGCATACATACATGCATGCATACATCCATCCATGCATGCATGCATGCATGCATACATGTATGCATATATATGTGCTACACCCATCCAGCGCCTCTCACCCTGCTGTGGCAAAGAGAGACAGGAAACAGGACAGACAAAGGGCGATGGGCGAGATGAGACGATCAACCAACTGTCCATTCACAATCTTTTCCAGAGCAGCTCGCTGCGCAAACTGAAAAGGTGCTTTGAAGACTGTGGTCCAGCACGCGTGCGCTTACCCCGTCTTTGCCAACCCCTAGGGCTGGGAGGGTGGGCGCCAGAACTCCTTGAGCCGCAGGGGCCGCGGAAGACACAGGCATGGCACAGGGGCCCCGAGGACCTTCACTATCTACCGCTCTGAGAGGCTCCTTGAGGTGTCGCAAAAACGTTTATAAACCAAACATGCTACACCCATCCAGCGCCTCTCACCCTGCTGTGGCAAAGAGAGACAGGAAACAGGACAGACAAAGGGCGATGGGCGAGATGAGACGATCAACCAACTGTCCATTCACAATCTTTTCCAGAGCAGCTCGCTGCGCAAACTGAAAAGGTGCTTTGAAGACTGTGGTCCAGCACGCGTGCGCTTACCCCGTCTTTGCCAACCCCATACCCACAAGACCCATACTTGTACCATGGCAGGCCTGTCGGGGCGGGTCGGGAGGGGCGAAGCACGACGGTCTGCAACCAAAAGAAAGAAATTAGAACGGGCAGGAAGGCTCACATCACCCTGGGCGTCTGTGTTCGCAGGGCCACTCGAAGTTTTCCTGGGAGGGCAGAGCCCAGGCGAAGGCTTCTCGACAAGAATAACTGAGAGAACTTTGATCGGACCCGAAGCAGAGTGCCAGCCTTCTCGTATCGACGCACGCTCTCCCGCGCCTTCCAGCGGCCTCGGCGCTGGATTGAGCGCAGGTCCTCGAACTTCTCTAGTGCGTCTCGGCTGGCGCCGCCATGACGAAGGCAGTGCGGCGTGAAAGCCACAGGCAGCTGCAGGCGGCGGCAGGCGGCGTTCACGGCGGCCTCCAGCTGTGCTAGCGTCAAGCCCGCAAAGAGCGGTCCCGGGCCCGCACGCGCCAGCAAGATATCAAGAATGCTGCCCACGAAGCCCTGGCCCTTGGCAGCACTGCCCAAGAAGACCGTGTCATCGAACGTGTTAGTCTTCGAGGGAATCGGCTGTGTCGCTGGGGCCACTGTCACCGCCCACAGCTTCTGGGGTCCAGAGCGCGGCGGCCGCAAGACATCGGCACCACGCAGGCCCAGCGCCTCAGACGGTCGCAGGTAGCCGTCGAAAGCAACGGGCAGCAGCGCTCCTGCAAGCGTGGACTGGAAGTCGCGCCCGATGAGATCGTCCGCGACGGCCAGCACTGCCTCCCAGACCGCGGGCTCGCGGCTTCCAGGTGGTTCGAGTCGGTCCCAGCCTTTGAGAGCCTGCTTGGCCTTGGGGAAGGCGTCACCCTTGGTCGCCCAGCCCTGCTGCCAGGCCAGCCCGTAGAGGCACCATCGGGCGTTGGCCTTGGCCTCGCCGCCGAGGAAGAGCGACTCGAAGTAGCGCTCCAGAGTGGCGTCGGCCGCCCGCGGGTCCGAGAGGCTCCCGCCGTTACAGGCGACGAAGTCGTGGAGCCCCTCCACGCAGTCAGAGTAGCGCGCCGCGGTTGCCTGGCGCACTGTGGCCCGCCGCAAGAAGCCAGGCGCCTGCTCTCGCGGCTCCGCCCGAGCTCGACGACCGCGGCCGCGCGCTCTAGTCCCAGCGCCTCTGGCAGCCGTGCCACGGCAGCCGGTACCTGAGCGGGCATCGCGGGGCGTCGACTGCGACGCTGGAGCAGCCACACGCGGACGCCAGCTGTCGCTCCCAGCGGCGCTCGAGGTAGGCCTCTCCGTCTGGCCTTGCGGCCGCCGGGGGCGCCAGGAGCTGGGCGGCGCTGGCATAGGCGCGGCACAGGCTGGGCGGATAGGCAGCAGCTAGACTGGTCTTCCACTCCCAGCGTCCCCTCACCAAAACCTTGCCCTGCAGAACTTCGCAGCGCCGTCGGCACCTGCACTCGCGGGCCAGGGAGGCGAACAGCGGGTGGGAGGCCGCAAGCCTCGTAGGCTTCTGAAAGGGCGTCCCAAAGCGGCACTGGCACAAGTCGACAAACGTGGAAGCTGACGCCCGAAGCGCCCTCGCCAGAGGTCTCCACGTCCAGAGGCGCGACCGCTGAGGATTCTCGAGAGTGAAGTGGACCCCAGATCGCCGGCACTCCTGGATCAGGCGAACTGTGAAGCGCGCCGCGGCCAGCCCTCCCGCGGGTTCTGCGGTGCCCGAAGAGCGTGCAATCGACCACCGCGTGCACGGGGTCGCAAGATGCATGAGCCAAATAGCGCCGGAGCGGATCCACCCGATGACAACCCTCTGGACCTTCGGGTCCGTGATGTCGAACTGCGGGCCCTTCACGAGGTCCATGGGAACCCCTGCACGCAGCCCAGCCTCCAGGATGGCCCCCGTCAGGTACCCCTCGCCCGAGAAGATCTCCAGGAAGAAGCGCCGGCCCCGTCGAGGCCTCTGTCCAACCTGACCTCCAAGACGCGCAGGAGTGGGAGGAGGATCGAGACCTGGTGGAGGACGTAGCTCGGGAAGGTGCCCTGGAACGTCGTGCCTGGCCCTGGGTGACGAACCCTCTTGACCTCCAAGACGCTCGGGGACAGGAGGAAGTTCCAGACCAGGTGGGGGAGTTAGCCCAGGAAGAAGCCCCACAGCTCGATGACTGGCTCTCATTGATGGGCGCCCTGGAGGTACCTCGTTGGAGCTCCTTGTAGAAGGCTTTTTCAAAGCAGGGATGGAGAGACGATCGGGAGGGCGCCCGGATGGAAGACGACCGCGCGGCCCTCGCCACACCTGGCCGGGCTGCAACAGCCCGCGGTCCGCCGCCCGACTCATGTAGTCCGCTGCGTTCCGCACTCCCTCGACATGCCGTTGTCGCCACACGATGCCGGAGGCCAGCTGCAGCGCGGCCGCCCGTCGGCATTGTGAGAGGAGCTCCCTGTTCGCCGCGCGGCCCTTCTCGAAGGCCAAGACCGAGCCCATGTTGTCCCCTGCGGAGAGGAGCTCCGTGTCGTGGTACGGCGGATGACTGGCAGCTCGAGCCAGGCCCATCAGCCCGCAGCGCGCCTCGCAGTCGTGGACGCGGCTCGCGTCGCGCCAGGCCCCAGCAACAACCAGCTCCCAGCGCCCGGGGTCGACGAAGTCGTCGGGTAGCGGCGGCGGTCGCCAGCCAGAGTCGACCTCGACTCGGCAGCGCTCCGGCACGGGCCCGCGAGCACGGCTCCGCTCGAGCAGCCCGTCCCACCAGCCCTCGCCAGCGTCGCCAATCGCCATGGAGCCCTTGAAGCCGTCGTGCTCGCGCTCCACGAACTTCTCTCGACGGCTGAAGCGAGCTCGCTCCCGAAAGCGGCAGAGATTGCGAACCTCCCCGGGCCTCGCATCGGTCTCCAAGAGCGCGTAGCCTTTCATGGAAGCGTCCGTCATGAAGGCGACGGGGCAGGGTGGCAGCCCCCAGCGTCCTACCGCCATGAAGAGCAGCGACCTGGCGACCTTCAGCTCGTGCAGCGCGGCCGTCGGCAACTCGCGGATCTCGCCGAGGTCCTGCTGGACAAAGTCGTACAAGACGCGGAAGATCGAGAGCCCTGGCCTCATCAGCTGGAAGAAGGACACCAGGTGGCCCAGAACAGCACGGATCTGCCACCCCGCGGCCTTGCGCCATCTCAGAAGAAAGGTCAAGCCCCCGTGCAGCCGCCAGAGGCGCTTCGGCTTGGGACGAACCAGGCCCTGCACGCCATCGACGATAACGCCCAGGATCTCGACCTCGATGCCTGCGCCCTGCCTCTCGTGCCACTTCAAGCCTAGCTGGTCGAGAGCCGCCGTCATGCGCTCGAGTCGGTCCTGCACGAGGTCCTGCTCGATACCAATGATGTTGGCGTTGTCGACGTAAGGTAAGTCGCCGACCATCCCCGGCTCTAGCTGGGCCGCTGGCGCCTTGTCCAGCACCATAGCGTCGCGAGGACCCGCCGAGGATCGCATCACCTGCGCCAACGTCTCGTGGCAGATCCACAGCGCCCAGGACCAGCCCATCGCCAGTCCGCCGTAGGCCGGCCACACGTAGTCGTCCGGGGCGACGTCCACGAAAGCCTTCGCGTCGCCGTCGTAGACCTGGTGTACGCCTAGGTCCTTCGCCTGGACCCCGGGCATGTCGAACACGAACCACTCGGACAGGTGCGGAATCTTGAACTGGTGGAAGCCGTCCTTCAGGTCGACCGTGGCCGCGTACAAGGCGGCCTCGTCCGGCTTCATCGAGCAGCGCCGTCGCCAGTCGGCCCCAACCTGCACCGACGCGAGCGCCTCCACTGAAGCCATGCTGGTCTGTGGGGGTAGCCGGTGGTACTGGTTGGGCTGTCGGCCGTCCACGATCATGCGGAGGCGATCCCCTTTCTTCTCGACAAAGAACAGCCCCACCGTGGCCTTCTTCCGACGAGTGGCCACCACGATCCCCATGTCGGCAAGGCGCTTCAGCAGCGCGAGCAGGCGCGGGTGGTTGGCGCGGACCCTCGGGTTCAAGAGAGGATCCCAGTACGGCTCGATGTGGGGCTCGTCTGCGAGCTCGTCCGAGTGCCGCTCCAGGAACTTCTCGGGTTCCATCAAAACTTGTCGAACGTGATCTGGGACGAGGTCGAGCGCCTCCCGAGGCTCCACCGAGCCCTGCAAGAGGGAGACCTTGTCCTGAACGAAGGGCCGAACCGTGAGCCGACCCTCCTCGGAGTAGATGTTGCTGGACTTGAGAAGCTCCTGAAAGGCCTCTCGAGGTCGAGCGTCGGGCGGAGGCGGACCATGTCGAGCCACCGATCGAACCACTCGGCCAAGCGCGGACTCCTGCGAAGGGGTCAGCGTCGAAGTCTGGCGCACCCGTCCTGGCTGGAGGGTGTGTGACGCTCGAGCGGCGGCCAGCGCGTTCAGGCTCGAGAAGATGTCCTCGGTCGCCCTGCGCGTCCAGTCCCGCTTCGTGCGGCGGCGAGCGGCGCGGCGGCCCGCCGGGCGCTCTCGGCTGGTCTCCTCGAAGAAGTCGGAGGGCAGCACCAGGGGGAAGGGGTCGGACGCCATGCCGACGACGTGCCCTTCGAGACAAAATTGTGAGCAAAAATGCGGCGGCCGTAGAGCTGGTCCTTGGCCACCTGGAGCCCTGCCTCCGGGATGGAGGACGGGTGGAGCGGAACGTCCCGCCCCAGGTTACTTCTTGTTGCCACTCCCCGCTCCGCCTCCGCCAGGCTTTCTGGCTTCGGCGTCTCTCTCCTCTGTGTATAGCCGTGTGTTCTTCATGATCACTGCCTTTGTCTTCTGCTCCTGCGCGACCCATTCGTCGAACTTGCTGGTGACCACTCCTCCTGTCTCGTCGAGCGCCGAGGCCAGCATGTCCTCTAAGCCCGAGTAGTTGGGATGCTTCGGGTCGCGCCGAATGGCTCGCTGCATCTGCACGATCCTCCTTGCGATGAGCTCGGCCCCTGCAAGATTCGTGACGTCGACCTGGTCGTACTCGATGAGGTGCCGCAGGGCCTCGAGCAGAAGGCGGATCTCGTGCGCAGCGGCGCTGCCGGGTGGCACTCCACTGCTGGTGATGTAGTGGTTCGCGTAGCCCGCGATGCCCAGCCCCGAAGCGCGTACACTGTCCAGGAACTCGGGCAGCGACTTCGGCCCTCGGAACACCCAGTCGCCGACGTCCTGCGGGCGGTGCGCCTCGATGGCCTGATCCAAGGTTGCACGTCGAGGCCCACCTGGTCCTATCCGCCGGAGGGGACACACCCGAGGATCCCGACCGGGCCCCGAGTGTTTCTCGTCCAGCCATAGCTGGTGCCGCTCCTCCGGCACGTTCTCGCAAGCTGTGAAGATCCCGTCGTCGTCGTTCCCGTCCAGCATCGCCAATGCCACAGCTCCACGGCGCACGAACCTG